TCAGTCCTGCCCCTCCTCTGCCCCTGCCCAGGCAGTTGGAACTGCAGGGAGGTCTCCCCTCAGTCTCCTCTGCTCCAGCTGAACACACCAAGTGCCCTCAGTGTCCTCACACGGCTCCAAATCCAGGCCCTTCCCCATCTCCGTGTCCCTCCTTTGGACACTCTCCAATGGCTCAATCTCTCCTTCCATCGTGTCCCCCCAAAGTGCCCCAATGTTGAGGTGAGGCCGCCCCAGGGCAGAGCAGAGCGGGACAATCCCCTCCCTGCTGCCCCCAGCACAGGGATGTCCCTCCTGGCTGCCAGGGCACTGCTGACTCAGGGACAGCTGGCACCACCAGCACCCCCAGGGCCCTTCCCCAGCTCTGCTCTCCAGCCTCTCATTCCCAGTCTGTCCATCCATCCAGGGTTGCCCCATCCCAGGGGCAGGATTGGGAACTTCCCCTTGTGGAACTTCCCTGGTTGGTGATTCCCAGCCCTTGGACCTGTCCAGGTGTCTCTGCAGGCCCTCCCTGCCCTCAGGGACTCCACAGCCCCTCCCAGTGCTGTGTCACCTGCAGGCCTGCTCAGTGTCCCTTCCAGTGCTGAGTGCAGGTCACTGATGGAGATGTTGGAGAGCACAGGGCCCAGGATGGAGCCCTGTGGAACCCCCTGGGGACACTGTCTGATGTCACTCAGTCACTGTCACCCCCAGTGCCTGACCCCTCAGCCAGTTGCTCACCCAGCACAGGGTGTGTTTTGCCCCATGCTCATTTTGGAAAAGTTAAATGTGCTGCAACAGAAAGAGGTGTGTGCATTCATACACACAAAGATGGAGTAAATGAAACCTGAGGGAAATTGGTCTCTTTTCTCGAGGAAAACCTACTGTGCCATCCTTTCTCAAGGATGCTTGTTTTGGCTAAGCAAGGCTGCTTGTTTTTGGTCCTGTTTAGCTGACTTAGTTTAACAAGATTACAGCTTAGAAATTAAGAGACTTCAGGTAGAAGTGTGGAAAAGGAAAAAGAAACAGCTTTTTATTAACAAAAATCCGAATAAACAAAAATTGGTGCCACCAGAAACTTTTAGAAGAAACAAAACAAAGTGCCTCCCTGACTCCCCCCATCCCAGAAGAAACAGATGGGGGAGAGAGGGGGAACTCCAGGGAAGAAAAAGAAAATTCCAACATCTGTTTTTAAACCTGTGACCATCAGCCCCTCAGCAGTGACTGGGCAGTAGCACACCAGCCTCAGCTTAGGATTGTTTCATTCTTTTTTGTTTCTTTGGATTGCCTTTGCAATCTGAAGTTCAGTACCTTCACTGTGTTTTGGTTTCCCTCCCAACACAGGCTGTGGGGTGACCATGGCCAGGAAGCGTTGGAATCTGCCCATGTTTGTGTGATAAACGCAACAGCAACAGGCACTGAAATACTCAAAAACTTAGTGCTGCCAGGTAAGCAGATGTTTCTCCTGGACATTCTTTGGAATGTATCTGAGAACTCCACAATACCTACTTAGTCATAACAATTTTTTTTCCCCAAGGTATTGGTTCCTTTACAATTGTCGATGGCAATCGAGTCTCTGGAGAAGATGTTGGAAATAAGTAGGTTTTTTTACTGGTTTTTGTTACAATTTGAGAAGTCAGAGGGTTTTAAGGGTAGTTCCATCTCTACATTTATTGAGAAATCCTTTAAAATTCTTTTAAAAGCCTGTGTATGTTTCTCCAAGTCTTTATGGGTTTGGAAGTTGGGGACATGCATGGTCATTTTGGTATTAACTGCTAAATTCTTTTAGTTCCTGCTTTTTGGACCTTACAGGTCTATTTGCTTCACATATCAAGTTTATAAAGACAACACTCTACTCAAGATAAAAATATTTCAAATTAACTTGTTTGATGTAATCTTGAGCTATGACAGAGGAAGGCTCGCTTGTGTTTCAGTGGGGCTAAATATATTTTCACTGATTGTGAGGAAAATACAACAGTAGTGGTAAAGAGAAAGGCAGATTTAAGAGGGAAAATGTGGTATGAGAGTCAGCAACATGTTCTGCAGGACAAAATGTGATTTCTGCTGCTTTTTCTTCAGTGTAACAGTTCACATGTAACTCTCTCTTGTCTCCTTTTCAGCTTCTTTCTACAAAAAAGCCATATTGGGCAGGTAAGGAGATAACAAATGGCACTTTAGATGTGTTGAAAGCACAGAAGGGTTGAGTACTCCACTGTAGTATCATGAATAATTCTAAAAACGTATATGTACAGGTTAAAGTCTGTTTATTCTGTGAGAGAGTTCCCCAGGCTTACTTTTTAGTTGCTCAGAAATGAGAAGATAAACTCATCTGGGGCAAAAAAATGAAGAGGATATGATTAAGAAAATCTTTGGAAGGTGTCAGAGCATTGTGGGCGAAGGAACAAAGCTAAGATTAGTGAAGTCAATGGGGGGAAAAGTGTCACAAAAACAGTACAAGAGTGCTGGATAACTCCTGGTAACTAATCAAATTGGAAATTAGGAAATAGCTGTCACATCATTTGTGGGTTTAAAATGATACTGCTAAAAATGCTCTCAAACACTGCCTGCTGTTATGGGATTTACTTTTGCTTCAGATAAGCAAGACTTGGAATGAGGAGCTCTGGTTTCTGATGAGTTTTGATTATGGGGTGTTTTTAGGGGTTGTTGTGTTTGGTATTTGTAGCATGTGGCTACTGATACACTGTATA